TCTCCTTCGGGTGTGTCGTTCGGGCACAACATGCCCCATTGCGAACCTTGTAACGACCGTGGACCGGAGACTTTCCTGGTCTTCTCGAACTGAGAATTGACTCGCGTCATCATGCCAAGTGCCGAAATATAGGACAGTCGTGATAACACCTGTGTCACGCCATGTCTCTCCATTCTGAATCTTTTGATTGTCCAATTGCCCGAAGATATAGCAAAAGCCAATCCATTGGTAATGAGATCATGTCTCATGTGATTAACAATGTCAAATGGTGCTGCTCTTATCTTGGGAATATTTTTATTGGCAATTTGCTTGAGTTCCCAATTAAATCTTTTAAACAAATCTTCAAACATTAGAGCAAGAAGAGAGCCAGCCAATTCCAGACGCTTATTACCATAATAATCCTTGTCATCAATCAGACTGCGATCAAATTGCGCAGTTATTACTCTTCTGATCATTAAGGCAAGGTACAGCGCCTTCGGTCTGAAATTGAAGTCAATAACAGGTACATGAGACAATATATTCGTTGCTAATACATCTTTCATCTCATCAGTGAAATGAGATTTTGGTACATGGAATCTCATCTGTTTCCGTTTGTTATTGAGGTATTTTAATGCTTGATTCTGTGAAAAAATGCCCAGTTCTTGGCAATCTTCTAGACTAGCTGCAAATTTGTTCAAATAGGTTTCTTGCGTTCCAACCATTTGCATAATCTCTAAATCGCTTATGATACCCATAGCTTTGAAAATGATAGTAATCAGTATGTCGTCTTGGAACATATTGTGCCTTACGTAATATTTTCCAGCTTTGCCCACAACATTTGTCTTGGTCTTTTTGTCGTGGGTAAAACTGTTGCACGCTGCAACAACGCAGTCTTTGCTATCTTGTTCTAAAATAATTCTATTCCTAACCATTTGTTCTTGTATTAATATAACTTTTTCTTGGCCATTTATGATGAAATAACCACCAGAATCATATGGACATTCGTTCATTTTGGCTAACTCGGATTCAGATTTTTTAGTTAACACACAGTTAGAACTGCGTAACATTATTGGCATCCTGTAAACATTTATAATTATATAATATACTATTATACCTTAATAATTTACTTATCTATTGCTGTATATTTTATACTTATTGTTCTTACTTTCCAATAACCATATTTTGCCTTATTATCCGCTGATTATTTCTTATATATTCAACATCTACTATAATTGAGGCAGAATAATTTAAATCTCTTAAGCGGCACTCGTGTGGTGTAGTTGGTATAGTCCTAATAGAGTTGGATGATTCCTGAACTTCAGGCAAGCCTACTTTTATATTTAAGTATCTGGAATATGAGAAAAAAACTGTTAAGAATCTGTGATGTTTCTACAATTGCATCTTTCAAAAGTATATGACACTGCTCTTACTTTAAATAAAAATGTGGATCTTCATCGCTCTGAACCTTTTCATTTGCTTTAACAATGTTTTTGATCTCTTCATTAATGAAATAGTTGTAAGAATCTATATGCTGATTTACTAAACCTTTATTCTGAAGAAACGCAGCTACTAATTTCCATTTATCCTGTAATATATAAGATTAACAATACTTTAATAATTAGTAATTTGTAAATATATGACACATAAGGATAAAGTTAAAGAATTACAATTTTTAGTAATTACACAGTACATGTATTTATGCCATCAATGATGGCATCTTTTTAAAATTCATACATTTTATGCATAAAAAAACAAATTCATTCAACAATTATTTAAAAAAGAAAGAGATAAAAAATAAGAATATAATTTTCATTTAAATGGATTCAAATTTTATTTTGCAGAGTGCCTAATATATGTATATACGAGTTAAAAATAAAGCGCCACACATTTATACATACCTCCATTCTTTTCGTCAGTTGTTCTTCGTTTCGTTTGTTCTTCACAATTATGAAAATTATATTACATAAAATTGATATTTTTCATCTGTACTTAAAAAAGTCCATGTGTTTAACAAGCTCGAAAACACCATGCTACAACAATCTCTACGGCCTGTTCTTTTTAGCTGAACTTCTCGCATGGTTAGGTTGCAAGAACTTTAGTTAAAAAGAACAGACCTTATAGGTAAAATAGGTCTGTTCATGATGTAAGAATACATGCCTTCTTATATCATAGGCCTGTTCTTTTTAGCTGAATTTTTGCACCAGTTCATCTTTCTTCCTTTTCTCTTTACGAAGAAAAAAGAAGAAGAAAGATGAACTGGTGCACAAGTTCAGCCAAAAAGAACAGGCCTCATGAGTCTGTTCACGTTACTTACACTTTTTGCACTCAGCACCTTCTCCCCCCTCTCTTTCACACTCTCTCTCTCTCTCTCTCTCTCTCTTTCTCTCTGTTCAACGCCAGGAGTACCGAATGGCGAATATATATTTTTTAGGATTTCAAACGCGAACAAACTTAAGAACGCGTTCACACCTTGACAGAAAAGCAGAAAGCAGAAAAGCAACAGCCAGTCAGAATTTGCGCTGGTAAGTTGACAATAGGTCTTTCATCTTTTTCTCTTCAACGTGGATTAATGGCGTTTTGTGCTCTATTGATAGAGTGTGTAATGTCAACCAACAGGAAAGATTAATCCAATCAAGTTGGTGCAAATCCGATCGGGTCGAAAACGCTAATAATTAATACATATAGCGTTTTCGAGTGAAGTAGGTTTGAACCTTACCTGGGTACCTATCATGGAACATGTCGAAATGAATTCCGATCGGAATTATTCCGTTTTCTCTAGAAAATACAATAGAAATCTAGGGAATAATTGAATAATTTCGATCGGAATCCATTCCGACTTTTTCCACGATAGGTACCCTGGGTCGGACCGATGACGTCACATCCCATACAGCATCGAAAGTTTTCAGAAATATCTCAGAAATATTTCAATTGAAAAGTGAAATATTTCATAAAAATTGCGAAATATGCCTGCAACATTTCTGAGACAGCTCTGAAATAGCAAAATGTCCGCGATTCTTACACATGAAACCTTGTTGAAAGGTTGATGAAATGATATAGCAGAATCTGCAATTTTTTGGAAATATTACCAAGAGGTTTTAGCCATTTCTAGTAGGTATTACAAAAATGATATTTGAATATATAGGGGTACTTGATTGATATTTAAATAATATTTAAATTTACTATGTCGACATAAAAAATTTAAATATTGTGTTTACAATATTTAAATTAAACGTACAATTAAACATATATTTAAATATCATTTCCGGAGTACTTAAAATTTAGTAAAAGTTTTATGGTCTGTTTACAGATTACAAAACTTATTGAAATAAACTTAAAGTATTTCTCAAAAATAGTAATTAAACCATCAACTATTTTGATTAATTAATCAATTATATGTACTATAAACACTTATACATAATCACCATTAAAAAATCACAGTTCCACACAATATTATATTAAGCCTGCCGCACACGATGCTTGTTTTCCTGCTGGATTCCTAGCTAGATTAGAATCTTACCATCATACTGGCCGCTGATAGTGTCAGCATCGTAGCCAATACGGTGGCAAGAATTTATTCTAGCTAGCAATCCAGCAAGAAAACAAGCATCGTGTGCCGCCGGCTTTATTCATATATAAAAGTTTTACATTAAAGTAAAATACAAGTTACAATAACTGGGTTACCGAAGACCGATCGACTTCTTCTCTTCCCCTCCACCCATAATTATCTTCCTCCCCCCCACCACTCCAACAAGCAGAGTAAAATAAAAGGGAACGGCCTGGAGGAACAGTTCAGGGCATCAATCATGTAACTTTTCCCTTGGATGGAAACGTGAAAAGTGAAAAAATTTTGTATGCATGTGTATATGTGTTCAGTATGTGTATTATAAGCAATTTAAATTGAAAAACATTTCAACAGAACAAAAAAATTATCATGATGTTAAAATAGCTCCAAAATGTTTACTAAAAGTCACTTTTTTGTTCAATCGTGATTCAGTTTAAAGTCATTTTAATGTTATTGTGACTTGATGATATTCTTGAGGTTTCCGGGTGTTACTATTATTATATGAAAATCATGCGTTTCGGGGGGTTTTCTCCGTGTTCAGATCCACGTTTCCGCTCTAGAGATAAAGTTATATAATCAATACCCACAGTATCAGGCTGTTCCGTTGTTCCTCGCCCTGATGAAGTGGACTGCAAGGTTCACGAAACGTTGGCATTCCAAGAATGGATCTGGACACGGAGAAAACCCCCCCAAACGCATGATTTTCATATAGTAACACCCGGAAACCTCAAGAATATCATCAAGTCACAATAACATTAAAATGACTTTAAACTGAATCACGATTGAACAAAAAAGTAACTTTTAGTAAACATTTTGGAGCCATTTTAATATCATGATGATTTTTTTGTTCTGTTGAAATGTTTTTCAATTTAAATTGCTTATAATAGATCTTAGAAACATCTGTTAAAACATTTCATACGACATATTGCAGAATCTTTTCAGAATTGTTGCACATGAGACGTGAAAGGTTGAAACATTTCTGAAAACTTTCCACAATAATCGGTGCTGTATGGGATGCTTTACTTTGATTTCTTTTTGGACGAGATTATGATACTTTCGAAACATGAGTTAACCGGGGTACCTATCATAAAACAAAATCGGAATGGATTCCGATCGAAATTATTTAATTATTCCCTAGATTTCTATTGTGTTTTCTGAGGAAAACGGAATAATTCCGATCGGAATCCATTCCGACTTTGTTTCGTGATAAGTACCCGGGTCGAGTTCAAACCCACTCTACTCGAAAACAATGATATATAGGTTGGTTATTTACCATATTCCCTTGTAACAGACCCCTCTTCCATCCCAGCGCTTATCTCGAATATAAATGTACACACATGTGTCAGCATTTTCATGTAGTTCTCTCAGTGGCGAACTCTTTAAGTCTACCCTATGACGAGTTTGTCTCTTATCAATTTTTCTATTATCGATTAAGATCATTTAACTATAATAACACGTAGTGTATAATAACATATGTATAAACGCTTTTTATTAATTCTCTTACAAATAATATAAAATTCTCGCGCGTGTTCACAAGTGTTTCCCTTTCAGCAACGCGTAAAATATTTCTAAATCACTGTCGCTCGAAGATATTTCTATAAATATCTAATACTTTTACTATCGATCGACGAGAGACAATGTTTTTGACACGATATTCTATTATTTCGCGGCATCTTGCGAATCGCGCCGGTAAAATTGGTGCGTGCCATGCGTCGAATTATTGCAAGATTGATGAAAATGTCTTTGGGTTGAATGACGAACAGAAAGAGGTTAGTGACAATCATACTAATATGAGTCGACATTTCTGTCGATAATAGCGGAATTTTAAACCTGCTTTAAAATTTTAAAATTACATAGATTGCATTCGATCATAGACCGGTATTCATAGTTAGTTTGTATATTCAAGATCGTCTTAAGTTCAGCCTTGAGGTGTCATCAACCAATCAGAGAGCCGCGTTAGCGTATTTAGACATTACTTAAGATGGTTTTGAAATAAGAACCGACTATGAATATACCGGCTATAGATGCACTAGGCACAGTGCTATTGGCTGCGTATCAGCAGACTCAACAGTTTTGCAACCGTTTTATGATTGTCTGCTGAGATAGGACCATTCTTCTAGATCTAAAAGTATGATCCAATTAGCGCGAAGGAAACTTCCAACAGTTGCAAAACAAACGTTCTGCTGAACGCAGCCATTG